CCGCAGGATCCACAGCTCCACAGCGGTTTCTGCATCCGATGGGAAGCGTCCACCAGTGAGCACACAGCACCTTGGAGCTGAAAAGGTCAGGCAGGACAGGGCCAGGGATAGCCCCAGAGTGAGTGTCAGCCAGCCTAATTTTGTGTGTCAACCCTGAAAATTAGATAAACAATGACAAACCAGGCTTTTTAAATGAACTTGTCTCATCTCGTTCTCTTGATAAAGGGTACATTTCTCATGCTGCAGTGTCCCACCAGACAGGTTAACTCTTTCAGAGGGGAGCACCTCACAGAGGGTGATGTAAATCATTTAAATATCTGACATGAAATTAAAAGGGCAGTGCCCCCCTGAACACACAGCCCTGGTAATTCAAACTCATTGCTCACAAGCCATCAATCACTTAGCCCAGTCAATTAAATTGCCATTATTCAAGGGTAAAAGTTCCGTAATTTTACCTACCCTTAAAATTTAGCAATTTGCTTTCATGGCTTTCTCCAACTGGCCTCAGATATCTTCATTTCTTATAATAACCCACCCAGAGCTTATTGCAACAGATTTTACATCGCATCCTCAGCAGGACACAGACCCACGGGCCTTTTCCAGCACCGAGCTCCCACATGCAGCTGTGCTCCAGATCTGCTCACAGCCACTGCTGGTAGGAGCATGGCTGAACTGTCCAGGGGAGACTGAAGTCCCCCTGGGACACAGCACTATAACACAGTGAGAGTGAGTCCATCAAACTTGCCCTTGGCTTTCTTACAGTTGAACCACAGGACGGTTCCCTGGGCACCCTGTGCCAGCGCCTCAGCACCCTCACGGGGAAGAACTTCTGCCTAAGAGCTCATCTCAGTCTCCCCTCTGACTACACGACACCCAAACGTAACCACAACACCCAGCAAATTAGAAATGACAATAAAAGGCCTCATGCTTACACAAGGTAAGTTAGGAAACAAGCAGCACTGCGGTTGGTTGCAAGTGCCATGCTTTTAATGTTCCCTTTTACAGGAATCCTCCCAGACTGTGCAGTTAAAGG